GCTGATTAACACACTACACCTAATAAACATGCATATCAAAGGAGATGATTACCAGACCCTTGTTCTATCTAAACAATCTTTCACCTCATGGGATCTGTTTCAAATTTAGTCCAAAGTGACTTAGCTACCCATATTAGAGATTATTTTCCAACAAAAGCTATTTTAGGGGCAATGGTAGGGTGAAGGGGGAGGGAGAAAAAAATGTTGTGGGGACACAAAATAGAAAATGCTGCAACTGTGCATGCATGTTTCGTAACTTACAATAGGAAGTTTCACCAAAAAAAATATTTCCTCGTTTAATTTTAAAGATAAAGGAGAGGTCTTGATTTTTGTTACAACATGATCCTTGTATAAACTCCTACTCTGCCAAATTGTTGGATGCCTTTAATCCACAAGATATGCAAATAGGAAGTTTTGGCATTAAAAAAATTGAACTATGTGCATAGAGACTAATAGTATTCTTCTGGAGCAATAAGTGATAAACACACGTATTCCTCTGGAGCACCTGGCTATTACTTTTTCTTACTAGTCCTAAATTCCTTAAAAGTCATTAATTCCCTAAACAGCTAAATTAATTAATTAAAATATTTTTTTAAAGTTGCCCCTACAGCTAACTCTGATTTTGGAAACTTCAGAAAAATTAAAAAGGTTTACATTACAAATCACATAAGTGAAAGTATTTCTGTTTCTGATCATTATAACATTAGCAAGTACGAGTATAATTAACAAAACCCAAATTTGAACATTTTGCATTTAGAATGCCCTACCTGAACAACAGACAAAAGTTCTACAAAACTGTTTATATTTGAACTTGCTGTATAACATTAGGATCTCAGGAGAAGTGAGATTCTATAATTTCACTAAGATTTTACATTTAATATTAACTATTCTAGGCCTTAAAAAAACCCTACTTAAGTAAGTTACTATTTTTGCTTCCCTGCAAAAAGGAACTAACCTTGTCCCACCACAGGGAATTCTGGTAGCTCCTCCCCTCCATCTACCACCATGCACATAGATTGCCTCCAAAGCACATGGAATGCAATATCTATTTTGTTTGCTCAACTTATACATTACTGCACTAGCATTCAAGACATCATTTCTACTGATCTAGCTTTTGTTGTTTGTCATGTTGCCTTATATATCAATTTATGCATTAAATTTAGGCTAAGAGGCATATATTCCTCACCTCACAAAACTGGGCTATTCCTACATTTAACAGGCCATAGAATTTATATTTTCTAGCACAACCTGTTTGAGCTATAGAAACATGAATGTTAATGACATAGTATTTTTCCCCACCTTAAGTTTAGCTAACACATTTCCAATATTACTGAGTAACAAAAAAATCCCATGTTTATTCAGGGTTTTTAGGGTGGATATTTTTGCGGGGGAAAGGGAGACTATTTGATGTAAGCATACAAAACTCAAAAGTTCTCAGCCATGAAATTTCAATATTGATCACGGAGAAGCGTTGAAAGCACTTTTAAAACACTGTTTTCCTATAAAACAGTACGTTTTTTATGGCATAGTAGGTCTTAAATCTAAACATAAAGACCTATCTTGTTTTAGAAATATAAATAACATTATGAGCATCCTAGAAAGGAGGGTACGTGAAGAATAGGATGATGGGAGGAAGAAATGGAGCATGCCATTTTCATTCATGCAGTAGTGATGTCAGTGTCTGCAGCAGCAGCAGTTGCCTTGACCCCTAAAGGCTCAAACCCAAAGTAGTTTTACAGAGTATATTTATTTTAAAAAAGTAAACCTCAGGAAACCCACTTACAACACTGGAATATTTCACACAAGATGGTTTAAGAGGGGATCAAATTCAAAGCAGTTCTATGCTGAAAGAAATTGAGAAAAACACCAGGTGTTTTAGGCAGAGAAAAACATCTTTTCTGTCAAAAGCATAGCCAGTCTCCCACACAAGCATGCTCCTGAAACAATGCAAGTCAATCTGCACAGCCAGAACCAAAACAGTCTCTGCACTGCAAAAAATAGGATTACATCAACAGTGGGAACTTTCATTTTACATCAAAAGAGGAAATGTTTTAAGAGCATGACACAAAATGTAATAGTTTCACTAAGAGTTATGTCATACCCAGGCATGATTAAGAGGCTAACAATAACCAAAGGAGTAAACTATGCAACAATATGTGGTAAAACAATCCATGTTTGATGGCAATAAGTGTTTCAAGCCCTCCACTATGACTGCAGTAGTATTCCAGCATCATTGTATAGTCTCTGTACAGATACCACCATAAAAGCTACACATGATTTTTACTTCATGTATATTATACACACAAAAATCTAGAAGCGCGTAAATCAAAGAAACAAGAGGCTAAAACCATATCTTGTGATACCTCATCCATACTCCAGTTTTGTAATTTTTTTTTATTTATACTTTTTAATTCACAACACTATAAAAACAGTCTTATCCCCCAGATCTTCTAGAAAATGGTGCCTGTATTTCTGAAAATAAAGCTGTTGTTGTATGCAATTGTGGTCATTATTAGGGCGATCACGTTGTTTTCATTCATTCATTCAGGATTTGCTGGAGTATGTCAGTTTCTGCAGCAGCAGCTGGCTCGACTTGGGGTAGGGGGAGGACATATTCCTTGGGGTGCATACAGATTATGGACATGTATTTTGATGGACTATTTATAATTTTATATATTACAAACACAAAAATGTATCAAATTTTATCTGCTACTAACATGGTTTAACATCAGGCCAGGCTCAAGCAACTTTAACGATGGAAAAGTAATTCAGTACTAATTTATAGGTCTGAACTATTAAGACAAAGACTTTCAGTTCAAAACATGTAGCCACTCTTCAAATTTAAAATTTTACTCAAACAAAAATGTATTCATTAAAACCCCCACGATTGCACTAATGAAATACTTAATAGCTCTGCAGTATTTCTCTCCAAAGGTAATTACCCACATCCCACTCCCCATGTGAAGTGCAAACCATCATCCACTGTAATATTACAATGTTTATCAAGTTAGACCGGGGAACTGATGTATAATAATATTTGTCATCAGTTTTAATGGTCACAGTTAATTATATGCATCAAGTCTGTTTTGTTTTGGCTGACCTCCCATTTTATTTCCCAGAATAACACTACACTTAACTGTCTCTAAAAGAGGGGGGAGAGGAAGTTGGATAAGAAAAAAAACAAACAAATTCCTAGAGTTAAGGGGACAAATGAGCCTCAGTTTTAAATACAACTTAACTGAAGCAAAATTGCTAAGGATTGTTTCCATTTTAAAGCATGCAAAACCCTGTAACTCTACAAATCTCCTTCCATGATCATAGATCTATTGCATAATGTTGGCATAAATACTAAGATATGATGGAAAGTGTTTAATCTTCAGGATAAGAGTAAATACTACATAATGTATACCAATTCCATACATAATATTATTAGTCATACGTTTATATACTTACATACAGTATTCTGGGACTATTTGAATAGCAAGAACTGCTCAAGTCACAAACATTGCAATAGACTTCAAGAATTCACCACATACCCAATAAAGATATGGAGGGGAAGAAATAAGGGAACTGATTCCACTGTTACAAAACATGTTAACAACCAAAACACATTTATTTTCATTTCAGATGCAAATTATAAAGACTGAGAGAGGTGTACGGGGGCACTGAGCCATATGAAATGTTCCCTTGAAGAGGTGATGTGTGATACCTGATAACTGCAGCAGGGTAACATACAAAGTGCATTCAGTCTGATTCATTCAACTGCTGACGTGATGGGGGAGGGCACTAAGATGGCCACAGTCACTTTAACACCTTTAATAATTCAACAGACAACATGAAGCAGGTTATGTTAGAGCTGTTGATAATTAGTCTGTACTTATTTAAAAGCTTGCTAGACTGTATTCTAAGATAGAATTTTTAAGGTTTTTTCATTTTTTTAAGTTCTTTCTTTGAGGCATTTTATGATTTTATTGGTCTGGCAGATTGTTTTTAGCATTTCTTGAGACAATATTATCAGAATTGTGTATTTTATTTTGATGTGTATGGGAGTGTTTTAAAGTTCATGTTTTAACCTTAAAGTTAAAAATGTATGGGGAAGGGGGAAACAAGAGAGAAGGGTTTTCCTGGTTGGTTTATTTAAAAATACCATACAGAGGGAAGTTACTTTACACCTTATTTATATGCTATTTCAATTAATGTGGAGTGTAATAGGGTATTTTAGCGCTTGTTTTTATCTCCAGGCACATATGGAGAAATGAATTTCTAGGGTGTGTTTTATACCCTTGTGCACTTAAGTGGAGAATTTCAGGGCACCTATGTGTATCTGATCAGGTTTGAGTATGTCAAAACATGTGTTCAAACCTCTTTGTATGGTGAAGGAGGGGAAGAGTGTAGTATTTTAGATGTTCTATTTGTACCTCTTATATGCCAGAGTGATTCTTTCAGGCCTTGTTTTGGACCTCCTTTTGTATGCATGCATATGGGGGTGCATTTTTATGGCCTCTCCTCGTCATTCTTTCGGGAGCACAGGCAGATATTTCACCCCTGAACCCTAATCTCTCTCTGCAAAGGGTACTTTCAAGTTTGATATCTTGCTCTCCCTTTGAAAAGGAGATGACATTTCAGGACTTAGCCCTCAAATCGCTCCCTGTTAAAGGGAGACGAAATAAAATTTATTTTGGGGTCCGGTCTCAGCCCCTCATTCTTTGGGAAGAAGGGGTATTTCGGGGCTCTCTCCCCATCTCTCAGGAGACTCATCACGGGAGTATTTTCAGGCTCGGGACGAGTCTTCTGGAGATATTTCATGGTTCTTCTCTTAACTGTGGAACAGAGGGCGTGACTCAACCCTCTCTAACCCCTCTCTCGAACTGGGGATATTTCGGGGCTCATCCGCTCCCCTCTTTGGAGGGGAAGGCGCAGGAGCTGTGGTCGTTTCGAGCTCGGCCCCCTGGAATCTCCCGGAAGGGGGATGGCGGCTCTGCCCCGGGTGTTTTCTTTACCTCTGTACACCGGGGAGCTGGGGCTTCGTCTCTCAGGTGAGCTGCTGCTCCAGCTGCCACCGCTCTCCG